CTAATGGTGAGTCAGGTTTGACACTAAACCTTTTCCGGCGAAGTCGTCACAAACCAGAGTGTTTGAAGGATACTTTTTGAAGGGGTATTTTGAAAGTTTTGATAGAATGTAGTTTGTCAGTCGTTTCATATCGTAAACTCCTGAGTATTGACGTAAGTGGTGTTTGTCAATAATTCTTTCCATCTCTTCTGAAGTCTTTTGCATTCCTGACTGTATAAATTCAACGATGGCATAATATTTCCTCTTACGTCGAATGTAACGTTGAAGAAATTCAATGAGTTCACTGTCTGGAACTTTAACGACAGAGGCTTGAACTTTTGACATAAATGTTTTCGCTGTTGAGTCCATAGAGTCTGAAGTTGCTGATATAATGATTTGGTCATAATAAGAGTCGTTTCCTAAACGCTCTGTTATGAGTATATGACGAATGAGGTTAAATGTCTTACCTGACCCATCTTTCCACAATAGAAATAAACACCATTTGAACAGAACTCATAGTCCTTACTGAAAGGAAGAATGAGAGAAGAGTTAAGTTTGTCTGTAGTTTCATTCATGTCTTCATCTACGTCATGTATTAAATGCTTCATTTTATCTCCATTAAAAATGCAAGTCAGAAATATTCAGAACATAGCACCGAGTCTAACTGACAAGAGTATAAAGATATACTATGAACACGTTATGATGAAACCTACCAAAATTCAAGAAAGTCAGTATACTTATGAATATCCAAGACACTGGGTAGAGTATGTAGGAGGTGAGAAAGCTATTGAAATCAGACAGGTTCGAAGTATTCCAGCAGGAAGGACAATATTATTGAAGAACTTTAATGTTTTGAGGTATAATGATGAAACAAAGAAGCAAGATAGTTTTCCTATTGCTGTGTATGTGAACCTAGACACAGGAGATGACATGAAAGTTTTTAACACAAAGCTTCAAACGGTAGTGAGAGAACAACTGACTGCGGAAGGACATCCATTACCTTCAGAAGTTACCATAGCATATAATTTTGAAACAACTCAATAGATTTTAAAGTCGTCTCTGCAAAGAAGTCAGGTTTTACATTTAATGAAGCAGATGTATATTCGAATGAAAACTTCAAAGCTATTGCATGGTTAGATAATGACGATTGCTTTAAGAAAATATTTAAATTCAGTGACTCAACGATGTCAATAGATGACCTTCGTGGAATGTTACCATCGACGTTTACAGTAGAAGGTTCAGCAGGATTGCTTACAAGATTGTCAATTGGTGGTATTTGGTCTCGTGAGAACATTGTTATAAAATCCAGTATAAGTGAATTTGCTGAAGAATCTATATTATGTCTTTCAAACTACATGTATTCGCCACCGAAGCATTATAGTATAACAAACTTTGTCAGTAAGTTTAACATAAGACTTGTCGAACCTTCTTCAATGAAAGATGTTGTGCTACCTAAAGATGGAAAGGATGGACTCATTATTGAGATGATTTTAATAGCATATTAAATGAGCTTGTTCTTGAAGGTCATTCATGATGAAATAACTGTTGTAGAAGATGTTAGCAATTGTTCAGACATTTTGAAGCGAATAGATGAGATAAGAAAGAAGTTAGATAGACCGCAAAGCGGTGAGGGCGAAGCCGTGAGAATGTTTATGTTTCATTGACTTTCTCCAGTAACGAGAACTTTTATGAGATAATATTGAAGAGAGATGATTTTAATATGGTGTAAATGGTAGCTTGGGCAGCTTTAGGCGCAATGGGAACAAAAGCATTAGCATTTGGAGCAAAAGCACTTGGAGCTTATGACGCAGTAAATAAAATGAGTGGAGGAAGGGTTTCGAAGACATTAGATGCAAATAAAGGAAAGATTGGAGGCTGGGTTGCAAAGAAGTTAAGATTAAATAAAATAGGGCTCATAAATAAAGCATCCAATTTGGTTGCGACTGAGTCAGAAAATGCTTTAGGAAAGGACGATGAGTTTGCAAAACACGCAAAAGACTTTAATGACCAGATGAAAGGTGAAACAATGCATTTAAATAGAGTCGATGGAACTCTTCCTCCACCAGTAGTTCTTCCGTATGGTCCCTATGGAATGTATGGAAACCCTTACGAAAGACCATTTGACCCATTGACTGGTGGAAGTAACTGGTATCATTACGGACGAAGAAGAAAGACAGTCAAGTTGGAGACAGACGTGAAGAAAGCAACTAAAAAGAAACCAAGGAAGAGAGTTATAAAGCAATGAATTCAACGGGTGAAAAAAGAGGTGAAAAAAGGGTGAGATTCACCACTTCACCTAAATTTATTTTTGTGCTATGTTTTCATACGTGTGAGGGTGGTGATATATTTTTTAAGTTTATTTTTTATTTTATTTTATTTTTTTTTATATAAATGACGAAAACTATTGAGATAACAAACTACAACGGTCATGAGTTCAAGAATTTGTTCTTCGTTCCTCGTGAAAATACATTCTATCAGATACGAGGGAGAAAGGGTAAAGTTAGTTTGAGCGTTTACGACAACAAACATAATGGGAGATATATAAAGCATAGATACAAACGGTAAACGTGTTTCATTAGCTTTGTCAAAACTTACAGTATAAACTATGACAGTGATTTTGACCTATATTGAGAAGAAAGTGAGTAGAAGAATATGACTGTTGTGTGAAGCACAGCAATGGGAAGCGTTGCAATACTTTTGTAAATGAGAACATTAGTGGGAATTAGTGAGAACGTTTATTTTTTCATTAGTGAAGTCGTTAGCGAAAATGTTGGTGAGGTGAAGTGGTTGGCGGCTTTGTAAATATTTAAGGTTAAGTGAGTGTTGTCGTTTTGTGTTGTAAAATATACGTTACTGGTTTTGTAAATATTTAAGGTTATATTGGGTAAGGTGGAACGCAGTGCCACAGTACCCAAGATAACCATACTAACTAATATTCTCTGCATTTCCTCATTAGGGTCTTTGAACTTAGAATTTATATACTCATTTATAGCATTGTACTTCAAAACTCTTCTTTGGTACTTCTTTATCCAATCCAACAACTCAGAGTCTTTTATACATACTAACTTAGACTTCTTTATAATATCTTTAAACGAATTGACGGTTTGGTCAAATTGACCAGAAGTCGAACAAATGACTACTAACTCATAGAATGGGTTCCTCTCATCTAGTTCTTGTTGTTGTGCAGCCATTTTTAAGATAAGTGAAAGTCTTACCCGACCAGGTGGTGCAATTAGACCTGTTATACATTCTGAGCAAATAAGAACTTGTCATGTATAGGTTTTATCTGAGCATTTTCTAACTTCCTCTTGTTCTTATTTAAAACATTCTCAAATTTCTTGTCAATGTCAGCAAACTTTTTTTCTAACATATTTTTAGAAAAAATTAAAATTTTTATCTTTTAGAAAATGTCTAGCGATTTCACTATCTATATTCGAGACAAACTTTTGACAGCAAAACATCTGTCGACCATAAAATCTTACATAGTGTAAACAAGAAAGGTGAATTTGTTCTAAAGTTCTGTTTCTGGGAATATGACAAGAACCATAAAACATTACAAAGAGCAGTCTTAAAATTTGTCAATGACAGACTTGTTGACAGAGATGACGCCGATTGGAAAGATGAAGTCCAACAAAAGTTCTTAGAATGCAAAGAAGACACATGCGGTGTTCTTGAAGATGAAATAGAAAACAGAATAGAAGAGCTATTAAAGGACAAAGAACTTTTACATAGATATGGTTCTGAGAAATTTGACATATCTCCACCAGAGAAGAAGAAGAAAGAAAAGAAAGTAGAAGAAGAGAAGAAAGAACCAGAGCCAGTTCCACCGAAGAAGAAATTTGACATGTAAAAATAAAATTTTATTTTTAGAACATTTCTGGGTCAATGTCAATGTTCTCTTCCTCTTTAGGAGTAAACACTGGCTTAGACTCTAAAATCTTTTTACCCAATTTACCTTGAACTTCTACAACTTTAGACTCATAATATTCATAGTCGTCTGTCTTCTTTGGTTCATAAGGTATAACAAGTTTGTATGCTTTGCCTTCTTTAAGGTTTGAGAACCTTCTGTCAAAATTTTCTTTGACTGTTAACAAACCTTCTATGTCTAAGTCTTCAAATTTCGCACCATTTTTAGTCACAATAGCAAACTTAACTGGTTCGATGTTCCAAACTTTGCTGAATGAAGACTTTTCAAAATGGTAGAAGTAAACATTCAAATATGTGAATGGGTCTAGTTCTTCTTTAAGTCCTGACATGTACTTGTTTACTGAAATATATTTCGTCATCTTTTCTATCGGATAAAAAATATTTTTTTTTAAATTTACTCAGAAAAAATTTTCTTTGTATATACACCATTCTGAACATCTAAAAGACTTTTGACATTTGCCAAGAATGTACGTTTAGAAGCTGCCATATAACCATATTCTTGACAATATTGTTTATACGAATCGTACAATGACCTTTCATCTAATGACACAAAGTCAGTTTCATCTATGAACAGTTCATAAACACTCTTGTTTGCTTCTAACAATGTTTGTCTCTCTTTGGTATGTGGAATTTGTCTTGGATTGAACTTAGAAATATCTAATGTCATGAAATATGAGAACAAGTGGTTGTAAAAGTCAGATGTCAAACATTCTGACAAAGCGTCAAAATATTCTGTATCTTGCATATGAGAATCTGACGTTCTGACAACTACATATCTTCTGTCAGAACTTTCTAACTTCATCGGAACAGCATTGTTTGAAACCATAATGAAGTTTGCAACATTTTCACAAACTCTTTGGTCTTTATACTTTCTTTCAACAACTCCAGCTTTGTCTGTTATAAGACTCTTCAAAGCATCTGAGTTCAAAACTTTTGTTGTATCTATACTTTGAAGTTCATTGCAAACTATAAGTTTCATATTCTCTATTGAGGAGTTAAACTTGCCACAGATGTTTTCTAAGTTTGTCATATTCGGATTCGAATAGCCCTCTAACAGTTTGCATAAAATATCTGTAAAGAAAGTATTCTTACCAGTTCCTTGTTTTCCAATTATAATGAGAGCAGTTTCATTTTTAGCACTTGGATGTTGTAAGATATTTGCAAACCAACATAAGATATACTCATAGACTCTTTCGTTTCCATTGCATATAATTTCTTTGACATGGTCTAACCAAGCTTCTATAATACTGTGTTTCCATTCTACTTGTTCGTATTTATATCCAGTGAAGATAGAATAGAAGTTTGGAGAAGGTGTATAGAACTTTATACCTCGAACTGAAAAATCTTCTAACTTTGACAATAAGATATCCCAAGCATCTAACATCTTCATTCCAACTTGTACAACTTTTATTTTCTTAAGTTTCTGTCTACATTCTTGTTCAGACACTATTGTTGCTCTTGGTTTGTTAAAGACAACATCCCATTCTTTCATGACATAACATTCTGGGGCAGAGTCAACATAAATGACTAAACGTTTCAAATTCTCGACTGCTTTGTTATAGTCTCTAAATGGACACATATTTCTGAATGCTTGGAAGTCATAAAAATCTGAAACATCTATTCTGTACATTTTTATAAAAAAAAAAAGAATATTATTTTTTTATTCTTGACTTTGTTGTTCCATTTGTTGCATTTGTTGTTCTTGAGCTATTTGTTGTTGAAGTTGTTCTTGTAATACAATACTTTCACCAGTTGCATCTTCCAATTCGAAACTTTCTGCCGTCATTGACAAATACATAGGACATAAAAGTTTTACAGGAACAAAGTTTGCGTCAACTAATGTCAACGTTATACTTGCCAAAGTGTTTGAGTTCACTAAGGTTGAAAATTCTGCATTCGAATGAACAATAGGCAAACCAGCAGAGAAAGTATTGTTTATACGCATAAGTATCTTTTGGTCATAATAGTTTCTGTCGACATTCGAATAACACTTTGAACCTAAGTTTGAAACAATATATAAGATTGGTGTGCTTAATGTCAATGGAATAGACATTCCTTGTATGACACCTTTTCCTGTTATAGGAAACTGTTGGTAGTAAAAACCAGAAATAAGTTTTGTATTATAGCTCATATCGTTTATAGTAAACTCAGTCGGACATCCAAACATAATGAAACCTGCTCTAGTTGCAGCACATGTTACACCCGTACTTAAAGTATTAAATAAGTCAACAAAACCTGTTGGTGGTATATCTGAGTAAGTATCTTCAAAGGAGTATTTTTTACCATTCACAACAATAAAGTCTTCTGGTGTCAAAAGAGCAAAACAGGCTTTAGTCGTCATTGTGTTTAAGGTTAGTTTACAATATCGTCCTTGAGGACTTTGTAAGTTTGTTGTTATAGAATTATATGACTCGGGGTTTTTAGTCGTAATAGTATAAACCATTATGTCTTCTGCATTTACTTAGCAAATAAATTTTAATGAAATGTTGTGGTCGTCAAATATTTTTATAACGTCTGGGAAACTATATTTTAAGTTCAACGTTTCACCTCCTTTCATAACGTATATCTTGTCAATGACATTATATGAAACACCACAGCAACCAATGTCGGGTTCTATTTCTTTGATGTTTATATCGTCTGCCTCTGTCAAAAGTTTCAATAGTTCTTTCAAAACTTCATGAGGTGCAATGACATATGAGTTCACTTTTACAGGGTTGTGTTCGACCAAGTTTAACATTATACTTAAAGCTTGACAAATCTTCTCCTGAGTTTGAAGTTTGTCTTTCAGTTGTTGGTAGTCGTTTCGAATATCTGCAACAGAACTTAAGTCTCTGTTAACTTCAGGATATGTTGGTTCTTTTACAGGAACAATTGTTATACCATCTTCGTCTTCGTATGGTTTCCCCACTTCAACATCTCTGTCTTTGACATTGACAATAACACTTTGACTGTTTGTTTGAGTTGGTGAATTTAACTTCACATCTGCCACCGCCATTAAACCTTTTGAAACACTTACGCTTCTATTTTTCGGAAATGACATTTTACTTAGAATAAAAAGATGGACGTATTCGGATATCTTATTGAATTGAAGCAGAACAAAGTTTATACTCACAAACAATACAAATACATTGACAGAATAGTTCTTTACACAAACAATGGAAAATGTTATAGAATAGCAGTCTTTGCTGAACCTAAATATTTTCATAAAGCAAAGAAAGTTGGTATAACTGAAATGGTGAAAGTTCTTGAAGCAGACAAAAATATAACTTCAAAACTTACAGATATTTCTAAATGTAAGTTTATCTTACAATATTATGTCAAAACTGGCGTACTGTCAATATTTGACGGAGAGAAGTCAGTTCAAGAACAACTTACTGACCTGCTGCCAAAATCTGCTCGATGGAAGCTGTCGTTATGCCAATCTGAGGAGCCCCAGCAGGTTTCATCGAACGAATCTTCAAAAGAGCATCTTCCGTGAAAAGTGCTATTGGTTTTGTAAACTTCTTTGCTCTCAATTCATCTGGACCGTCTCTGTCACCAGTATATTGTATTTGTACAGTACCAACAGTTGAAATACCACCCATAAAGTCTTCTGAGTCAGCAAATGGAATGCCAAGCCAAAAGTTTGAACGGTCTCCATTTGTATATTGAGTTTTTTGACCTCCTGTATGAGTCCATACTTTCACATATGGCATAATAGAACTTTGCATTTCAGGGTTAATGTTGTTGTGAAGTTGTTGTTAAAGTTCATAGCATCTAATGTCAAGTTGTATGACCTCATATCCTCAACTGTAGAATATTCTTCTCTTGGATAATATTTGCCATCTATGTTTATATGATATTTAATACCAGGGTTGTAGAAACAAGAATAGTCATTTATAGTTCGTCTGAACAGTACAAACATAGTATCTGCATGTTTCATTGCAGTTGTTAAAGCAATATCTGTTCTTGCACCTGGGTCAGCACTTTGGTTTCCAACTTCACCTGCAAAGTCTTTGACAGATATTTGGTGTATAGGGAACATAAGTGGAACTGCAATATATTTGGCAGCTAAAGCATTTGAAATATCTGGGTCCAACATATAGACTGCAAGTCTGCTTTCTATTCTCTTGCATTCAAACTGTTCGCATGTAACTTAATAGGAACCCAAGCAGTATTGTTGTCTGCTGTTCCTGAGAAGTAGTAGTTTACTTCAGTGTTGAGGTTTGAGAAACCAAAGTCTAAGTCAACTTTCTCTTTGCACCATTTTCCAAATGGTATGCTGGCAGCTCCACCAGCTGTATCTGTAAGAGTGAATGGGTCTTGTGTTGGTGCAATGACTAAGTTATTTTTGCTTGGAGTAAGTTCGATAGAAATTTTTCCTGCCCAGTTTGGCAAGTATCTTAAAAACCTGAAGATGAGGAAAGATGACAAAGGAACTCTAAGTTTCAGTTTTACTTTAGTGGCAGCATTTCCATCTGAACCAGAAAGGTTAACATAAACTCCTGGAACGTTAGGGTCAAGTCTTCTTATTTTCTCAATAGTTGCATACTGGTCTGTTTGTTCTCTAGCTTGTGGTTGTACTGAGTTTCTTAAAGCGAACCATTCATAGTTTGCCCATGTTACTGTTTGAACTAAGTCAGAGTTAGAATATATCTTATATCCCATGAAAACTTCTGGAGCATATTGGTATCCGACATAGAAAATTCCATTGCAACCTTTCTTGTTAGACAACTTGGCAGAAGGTTTTATTTCAATGTCTTGTTCCACGTATAAGAATGAGTTGTCAATAGAAATAATATGAAACCTGTCGCAAGCAATATCTACTGTTGTTGAAGAACCTTCTCCAAACTCACCTACGTTTCCATAAGAAACAGCAGTTGTATATTCGTAAGTTCCAGGAAATATTTCTGACCTTCTAATGGCATTGTCGCATTCGTTATACCATTCGGAAACATTTCCGTTCATGGCATTCAAAACTGTTGGCGTTATATTCTGAGCGGCGTACATTTCATATGGGTAAAAATATAGAATAGTTGGATTTATATGTCATAATAGAACCCACTCGGACCAAGCTTTACTTTCTTCCTGACTGAGTTTTTAACTGAATCTTTAACTCTTCTTTTTCCTTCATTGCCACTACTTTCACAAGATGAAGTTACTTCTTCACTACTTTCACTTTGTTCTACTCTTCTCTTCTTCTTTGGTGTCGCTTTTGGTAACTTGCCCTCTGCTTCAAGTTGTAGCATCTATGCCTCATGTTCACCTAGTATGTTGTAAATTTCCCATGTCCTTTTTGCCTTTGGGCTCTGGTCGCCCATCTCAGGTAACCTATATCCTAGAAAGATTTTGTCATAGTTTGTATTTGAGTCTTCGCTTATTGTTTGCATGACTCTTTCCTGAGTTTCCGGTTCAAGCTCTTCAAACAGAGCTTGTCCATATGGAATAAGCTCGTTTCCAAATATATGTTTTTGTAGCCATTCTGGTTTTCTTTCCATGTAACCAATAATATCTTTTGTGAATGGGAAAGCTTTTACCCAACGTTTCAGTCTTGCGTCATTTATTTCTGTAGTTGGTTTTATTTTGTCATGGAACATGTTTTTCAATACTAACATTTCATTTGGTACTGTCCATTTGAGTTTTCTTAAATATTCATCCCTTCTCATTTCATTGTCTGCAAAGTAAGTTTTTATGACATTTTGCAAACTTTCGTTTGCAAGGTCATGTACAATAGGTTCTCTTCCTTCTCTCTCCCTAACTCTCTTTCTAAACTCTTCACCAAATATACCATCTCTATGGTTCTGTGTAGTTCTTTGAGATAAATGTTCTAGAACGTCAGGTGTTATATTTCCCTCAGCCATGTTCATTTCATACCGGTCCAAAATATCTGCATCTTTCATATCTTTCAATGGCATTAAAGCCGCGCTGAAAATACCAGTTATATCTGGTTCACCATTCAATTCCATTGCGTCTACAACTTCTTGGAATTGAGGTTGTAAGTTTATGAACCACCTATCCGGATTAGCTTTATGACCCCATCTCATTGTAGTTCCATAGTCTGCAGAAACAAAAGTAGGTTTGTTTCCATATTGGTTAGGTTCTGAATGAACTTTAAACAATGTTTCATTTCTATATGTTTTGTTGAAATTTAACCTTTTATTTTCACCGAGTTCAGCCAAAGATTGAACGTTATATGGTCGTAAGTAAAAAGGATTATTGTATTTGCGTACATTTTCTTTCAGTACTTCCATTCTATGCTGGATATTTTCATCTGATGTTGGAGTCTTTTGTATGTCGGTGAACATTTTTCGATATCCTTCTACTATGTCAGCCGAATTTTTCTTAGACTCTTGGAAAGATTCCATATTCTCCTCATACTCTTGTTGAGGGTCAAGATTTTTCGGCTGTTCCAAATCTTCATCTAGTTCTGTGAAGTTAGTTTCCAAAGGAGGGACTTGTTCGTTTCCTTCAGGCTCTTCTAGCTGTTGTTGCTGAACTATTTCTTCCATGTCTGGTTGTATCTGAACTTCTTCCTGTGGAGTTTCTTGTACCTCATCTGGTGGCATTTCATATATTCCGAGACCGTTTTTAACAAGTTCCCTATCTAAGTCATCCGGACTCATAAACCTTTCTTCTTTCGTTCCGTCTCTATTTTTTACGCGTTTCATGAAGAGAGTTGAATTATCATTTAGCTCTGACATCAAATATCTCGGAGTAAATTCATTCATGTCATTTGGATGATATGCTATTAAATCATATCCCTTAGCGAGCTTGTATTTTCCAGGTTTGAGATTATATCCCGTTTGATGCTGAACCATAAAGCTAAATAGGTTCGGGTCAGTATTTCCTTCCTTGAACTTTCTAATAGCTTCAGTTAGTATATCTAAGTCGTGTACTGTGGCACTGCGCGCCTCCGTACACCACTTAGCTGTTTTGACACTTTACGAAACCGTTAACGTATATTTTACAACACAAACACAAACACCAACTTAACCTTAAATATTTATAAAGCCGCCAACCACTTCACCTCACTAATGAAAAAATAAACGTTTTCACAAACGACTTCATTAATGTAAAAATAAACGTTCTCACTTACAAAAGTATTGCAACTCCTCCCATTGCTGTGCTTCACATAACAACTCATAATCTTCTGACTCACTTTCTTCTTCATATAGGTCAAAGTCACTGTCAAAATAAATGTTAGTAAGTTTTGACAAAGCTAATGAAACACGTTTACCGTTTGTATCGTATGCTTGTATAAACTTTCCATTCTTCATTCCTTCATAAACGCTCAAACTAACTTTACCCTTTCTCCCTCGTATCTGATAGAATGTATTTTCACGAGGAACGAAGAACAAATTCTTGAACTCATGACTGTTGTAGTTTGTTATCTCAATAGTTTTCGTCATTTATATAAAAATAAACTTAAAAATTAATGATATCACCACCCTCACACGTATGAAAACATAGCGCAAAAATAAATTTAGGGTAGAAGGGTAGATCTAACCTCATTTCTACCCTCATTTCTAACCTGTTGAATTCATTGCTTTATAACTCTCTTCCTTTCTCCAACTCTTCTAACTTCTTCTTAAGTTCAGCAATGTTGTCCTCATGAAGTTTAATCTTTCTCAAAATTCCTTCTTTATCTAATGGTTGCTTTATCTTTCTAAACTGAACTCTACCATCCTTCATAGTATGAATGTAAAAACCTTCTGGAATAGTTCCTGATTTAATGTATTCTACCAAAAACTTTTGTTTCATTGCTTCAGTGACTTTAGTCGTCATTTTACTCTAAGGTGAAGCTAGCACAGCGATAATGGATTTCATGACTTTTTAGTATTTCATGCAATCTTAACAGATAGTCTTACAAGTACTTCCAGTGTCCCTAGCTGTCCCTCCTTTTTATATAACTCCATGACATTTATAATCTCGCGAAACTTAACAGGTAGCATAACAGATTAAAATCAGATGAGGTTTTGAACCAAAATTTCTAAGCAACGTTGTCAAGGATTTTGAGGAACTAGGGACAGAGTGTGGCAAAGTCCAAGATTTAATTTATCTTCATCTGTTTCATCAGCTATCTCATCTAATATGCCAATATTTTATTCATAACTCGTGGCAAACTCACTAACTTTCGTTATGTTCATCTGCATGCTTCATCTGATAGAAAGTATGACTTTCATTAACTCTGTGAGATAATGAAAACTACTAGGGACAGAGACCATGGCAAAGTTTATGACTTTCATTATTTCCAGAACTTAATGAAAACTACTAGGGACAGAGACCATGGCAAAGTTCATGATTTAATTTATTCTCTCACTAACAACAAACACAAACTCCAACACTAACATCAAGTACTAACTTCAGCACAAATGACAAACGCTAACAACAAACACAAACTCCAACACTAACATCAAGTACTAACTTCAGCACAAATGACAAACGCTAACAACAAACACAAACTCCAACACTAACGACAAAATAAATGTCCTCACTTCTTAACAAAGTAAATATGTGCTTCTTACACCACCATAGCTCAAACGTTTCTTTTCAAACATCGATTGAAACTTATTTTGAGCCATTGGCTTTAGTCTCTTTTTCTTCAAATACGCCAAGAAATCTTCTTCACATCTTTTCACTTCATAGCCTTCTTTAAACTCCTCCTTGTTAAGTTCTATGAAATCTTTATATCATTCTTTGTTGCAATGGCTTCTTCACGAACGACATCGTGAACTATTTCATCATTGCATTCATGTATGACCTCCTCACTGTTCTCATGAACTATTTCAACACTGTTCTCATGAACGACCTCCTTACTGTCTTTCATAAGCGTTTCAAAGTCTCCTTTACTCATTACTTCAATCTCATGCTGTTCACAGTAGTACTTAAACTCACTGTATATGTCTTTGTTGTATGTTATATTGCTTCCCATGTACTCCATGAATTTTTCAAGCACTTCCTCATAATTCACTGTTTCTTTCTTTCCACGACCTTCTAATATCATACTTGCTTCGTAAATATAACTTCTTGCAGAACCGTCTCGCTTTCTACTTCTCTTCACAAATTCTCTCATCTTGCCGCCAAATACATTTGAACTACATGCAAAGAATTCATTCTCCTTCGCAAATTCTTTATATCTTCTGTAGCACTCTGTACAATTCCATCCGGATACAAACTTTTCATAGAACTCCTCGTAAAACATTTGGTAAGGTGTTTTGTTCATTTCGATGAGTTCTTGTTTAGCCCTGGTGAATGGTATCTTCCTTACATCAAATTCACTTAAATCTTTCTTCATGAAGTACGTCAGTAAGTTTGAATAAAACTCTTCATTAAAGCTTTCAATGAGATTTGAGAAATATTCGTAATTTCCTTTGTATCTGCTGCTTACGTCAATGACAACAAATCTTCTGTCGTCTTTGTCAATCTTTACTGAGTTGAAGTTGTTAGATATCATGATGATATTACAAACATTCTCTATCTTTCTTACTGGCTGACACTTCTGATTTAAGTCCAACTGAGTCTCTGTTACTATTGACTTTAGTGCGTCGTGGTTCATGACCTTAGACGTATCGCATGAGCTTAGTTCATTGCATACGATGAGCTTCATGTTCTCAATAGCAGCATTGAATCTACCAACCACATTCTCTATTGCCGTTATATTATTGTTGGCGTACTTACTAATGAGCTCGCATAGAACATTACTAAGTACATTCTTACCAGTTCCTTGCTTTCCTATTAACAAAAGTACTGTTCCAGTCTTTCCACAAGGATTTTGAACGATGTAGGCGAACCAGTTCAAAACATACTCATAAAGCTCTTCATCCTCATTACATATGACATCGTGAACATGTTTCAAAATATCCTTCATAATGCTTTCATCTACTTCATTCAGTACCTCATACTCATATCCTCTGAAATAGCTGTAAATGTCATCTCTTTCGTCAAAGAATCTCATGCCTGACTTCATAAGATAGTTCTTGTTCTGACCCGCTTCATAAATCATCAGTGCGTTCACATCCTTCTCCTCAATACGTCCTACATAAACACTCTTCATGAGCTTATTGAATTCCTTGCTATCTACTGACACAAGTGTTGTTGTGTCTCGTATTCCATCATAATCTTTCACTAGATATGTCATACGTGCTCCGTCAATAACAACAACACATCTTCTTAAGTCATTTATAACACTAGCTATGTCAATACCTTCTTCACTCATGTACTTATTTCTCCTCAAGTCCTTTAGTGTGAAAGTGTCTCTAAGTTCTATTTCAAGCAATTCATTTACACATCCTTTGCAATACTTCTCTATAAAATATTTCTGTCGTTCTTTACTAAGTTTCTTAACAGCTCTGAAGAACCATGTGTTTTGACTCAAACATCCTTCACAACTTCTCTCATTCATTCCTAGTTCTTTCATGTCATTATCTTCAACCTCTATGGTCTCATTGACTAAGGTCAAAGGGTTCTTAGTCATTGCTGGTCTTATCTGAAACAATGTTTGTGCAACAGGTTTAACTAGTTCAGCAACGTCCTTCCTTAATATGAATAGCTGTTTCCACTCATCTTTGCTAACAGTTCTTTCATAACCACTGACAGTAATGATTTCATTTGCTGACCTTAGACACTTATGTTCTATCATTTGTATTGCTTTTGTGTAAGGCTTTCGTGAGCATAGGTTGTATATGTCATTCCTGCAATGTTCATTCATGCCAATAGTACTAAATCCTTTCTTTGCTGTTGATGCATAATATCCATTAGTTCCTGTGTTCGTATTGCTGTCTCATAAAATACAACAAGACCTTTGTCATCTATGACGTACTTACCGAAAACATTGCTTATATTCTTTAACCATGAAATAACATCCTCATTCATGCTGTCAAACATGAAGTAAGGTCTTACATACTCTTCACTTATAAGATACTCCACAAAGTACTTGTTAAGCTCTATGTCCTCGTGAGCGATTTCATTAGGTTTGATATTAGTTCCTTTTGTCATTGCTGTCATGTACTTCACTCTCATAGTTCCTTTCAATAGCGTAAAATACTTCATTGTTTCATAACTGCTCTAAATTCTGTTCAAAATTCGTACAACATAACTTTTAACATTAGTGAAAGAACATGAGCGAAACAACAACATCTAACATTACAGAAGAAGTCAATGACAATGCCGATGAAAACATTACAGAAGGAGCTAGTGAAAATATTGACGAGTTCAGTGAGGAAGAAGATATTGAGGACGTCAATGAGAACGTTAGTGGGGAACAAACTCAATGGGAAACATTGAGAAATCATGAAGATTATGAGATTTGTACGACATATCCTTTTACTATTCGTCGAAAGAAAAACAAACATATTAAGAGTGAATGCTTAAATAATCATGGTTATATTGAGCTTAGTTTAAACAACAAAACACATTTAAAGCATAGAATTATTGCAGAACAGTGGATTGAAAATCCAAACAATTTGAAAGAAATAGACCATATAAATCATGATAGAACGGACAACAGAATCTCAAACCTTCGTTGGTGTTCTAAATCTGAAAACAATAGAAATAAAAGCAAGTATGGCGATATAGTTTATGAGTTCGTTGATGAAATATCTGACGAAGCTGTTGAAATAACAGATTATGGTAAGCATTCGTTTGAGTTCTACTACTATGTTGAGAATGAGGACGCATTCTATTATTATACAGGTCTTAACTATCGAAAACTTCATATAAACTTTACAAAAACAGGTGCTGCTTATGTTTGTATGATAGATACAGAAAACAAGAGAGTAATCTTATGCATAAACAAATTCAAACGCTTGTACGGCTTCATGTAGGACAAACATTATTTTTCAACACTAACGCCAACACGTAGGACAAACATTCATGACTAACATTACTGTATAACATAAATGATTTGTCATGATTTCATCGTAAATGTTTTGTCATGATTTCATCGTAAATGATTTGTCAAACATGAACGTATATGTTTTGTCATAGATTTCTTCATCGTAATGAGCGTAAATGATCCAAAAATATATTTTAGGTGAAGAGGTGAGATCTCACCTCTTTTCTCACCTCTTTTCTCACCTCATGAATTTTCATGACTTCTTCATCGTAAATGTTTTGTCATAGATTTCTTCATCGTAATGAGCGTAAATGATCCAAAAATATATTTTAGGTGAAGAGGTGAGATCTCACCTCTTTTCTCACCTCATGAATTTTCATGACTTCTTCATCGTAAATGTTTTGTCATAGATTTCATCGTAATGAGCGTAAATGTTTTGTCATGATTTCATCGTAAATGTTTTGTCAAGACTTCTTCGTATATGTTTTGTCATGATTTAATCGTATATGTTTTGTCATGATTTAATCGTATATGTTTTGTCATAGATTTCTTCATCGTAATGAGCGTAAATGTTTTGTCAAGACTTCTTCGTATATGTTTTGTCATGATTTTATCGTATATGTTTTGTCATGATTTAATCGTATATGTTTTGTCAAGACTTCTTCATCGTAATGAGCGTAAATGTTTTGTCAAGAATATAACAACCGCCTGAATTCAGACGGTTGCTTTTTATACAAAATTCACACAGGAAAATTCTTGAGTTTTGGTTGAAAGAATACGGTCAAGCCAAAAGTGGCTCGACCTCAAAACAAACATTTTATGAGCTTACTAAGGCATTTATGAATGAATTCAAAGGTATTTGCATACATCCTGACCTCGTTCATTTTGTTGCTGAATGGTGCTCTGTAAAGTATGCATTTTATGTCAAAGATATTATGGACTCCATAGATAAGAAAGTTCATGAGAAGTTAGATGAAGAAGAACTCGAAGATACAGTAGAGAATGCAAAAACAAGCATTTTATGAGCTTACTAAGGCATTTATGAATGAATTCAAAGGTATTTGCATACATCCTGACCTCGTTCATTTTGTTGTTGAATTCAGCAAAAATAATGTTTAGGGTAGATGGTTTTTAGGTGTCACTACGTCACCATGTCACCAGGTTAATTAACTTCTCTTAAAATTACTGACAACATGACATTTAGACAACAGTCCAGGAAATATATTTTATCGTATATGTTTTGTCATGATTTTATCGTTTATGTTTTGTCATGACTTCATCGTAATGAACGTAAATGTTTTGTCATGATTTCATCGTTCATGTTTTGTCAAGTTTCATCGTATATGTTTTGTCAAACATGAACGTAAATGTTTTGTCAAACATGAACGTAAATGTTTTGTCATGATTTCTTCATCGTAATGAGTGTAAATGATTTCATATAATTGCTTACCTCGGAAAACCGAGAGAAGAGATTCCATATGAAAATCGCAAGAATTTGGCTCCTGGTTTGAAATATTATTATGTTCATAGATTTCATCGTATATGTTTTGTCAAACATGAGCGTATATGTTTTGTCATGATTTCATCGTACATGTTTTGTCATGATTTCATCGTATATGCTTTGTCATGATGATTTCATCGAAACTAAACGTATATGTTTTGTCATGATTTCATCGTACATGTTTTGTCATGATTTCATCGTATATGTTTTGTCAAGATTTCATCGTAATGAGTGTAAATGAACCAAAAATAATGTTTACGTTCATGTTTGACAACACAGCAGGGGAAGGCAGTTATGAATTATTTTTGAAGAACTGAAGGTGTCACTACGTCACCATGTGTCACCAGGTAATTTAACTTCTCTGAAAAAATGAGACAACATGACATTTAGACAACAACACAGGAGGAAGGCAGTTATGAATTATTTTTGAAGAACTGAAGGTGTCACTACGTCACCATGTGTCACTCGGTTAATTAACTTCTCTGAAAAAATGAGACAACATGACATTTTGACAACACAGCAGGGGAAGGCAGTTATGAATTATTTTTGAAGAACTGAAGGTGTCACTACGTCACCATGTGTCACTCGGTTAATTAACTTCTCTGAAAAAATGAGACAACATGACATTTTGACAACAACACAGGAAATAAATGTTTACGTAAATGTTTTGTCAAGACCTCATCGTATATGTTTTGTCATGATTTCTTCGTATATGTTTTGTCATGATTTCTTCATCGTAATGAGTGTAAATGATCCAAAAATAATGTTTAGGTGAAGAGGTGAGATCTCACCTCTTTTCTCACCTCTTTTCTCACCTCATTGAATTTTCATGATTTCTTCATCGTAATGAGCGTAAATGTTTTGTCATGATTTCTTCATCGTAATGAGCGTAAATGTTTTGTCATGATTTCTTCATCGTATATGCTTTGTCAAACATGAACGTAAATGTTTTGTCAAACATGAACGTAAATGTTTTGTCGAACCTTCACTTTTTTGACGAAGTGCAAATCTTCACTTCGTGTCAAAACTTCTTCGTAAATGTTTTGTCATGATTTCTTCATCGTAATGAGCGTAAATGACCCAAAAATATATTTTAGGTGAAGAGGTGAGATCTCACCTCTTTTCTACCCTCATTTCTACCCTCATGAATTTTCATGACTTCTTCATCGTACATGTTTTGTCAAGACTTCTTCATCGTAATGAGTGTAAATGATTTGTCATGATTTCATCGTACATGTTTTGTCGAAACTTCATCGTATATGTTTTGTCATAGATTTCTTCATCGTAATGAGTGTAAATGATCCAAAAATAATGTTTAGGTGAAGAGGTGAGATCTCACCTCTTTTCTCACCTCTTTTCTCACCTCATGAATTTTCATGATTTCTTCATCGTATATGCTTTGTCAAACATGAACGTATATGCTTTGTCAAACATGAACGTATATGTTTTGTCAAGACTTCTTCATCGTAATGAGCGTATATGCTTTGTCATGATTTCATCGTAAATGATTTGTCAAACATGAACGTAAATGTTTTGTCAAAACTTCATCGTATATGTTTTGTCAAGACTTCTTCATCGGAATGAGCGTATATGTTTTGTCATGATTTCTTCATCGTAAATGATTTGTCGAAACTTCATCGTACATGTTTTGTCGAAACTTCATCGTATATGTTTTGTCATGATTTCTTCGTACATGTTTTGTCATGACTTTTTCATCGTAATGAGTGTAAATGTTTTGTCAAACATGAGCGTAAATGATCCAAAAATAATGTTTAGGGTAGATGGTTAGATCTACCCTCATTTCTACCCTCATGAATTTTCATACGGAATCTCTTCGTACATGTTTTGTCATGACTTTTTCATCGTAATGAGTGTAAATGTTTTGTCATAGATTTCTTCATCGGAATGAGCGTATATGTTTTGTCATGATTTCTTTGTACATGTTTTGTCATGACTTTTTCATCGTAATGAGTGTAAATGTTTTGTCAAACATGAGCGTAAATGATCCAAAAATAATGTTTAGGGTAGATGGTTAGATCTAACCTCATTTCTACCCTCATTTCTACCCTCATGAATTTTCATACGGAATCTCTTCGTACATGTTTTGTCATGACTTTTTCATCGTAATGAGCGTAAATGTTTTGTCAAACATGAGCGTAAATGTTTTGTCATGACTTCTTCATCGTAAATGTTTTGTCAAACATGAACGTAAATGTTTTGTCATGACTTCTTCATCGTATATGTTTTGTCAAACATGAGCGTAAATGATCCAAAAATAATGTTTAGGGTAGATGGTTAGATCTAACCTCATTTCTACCCTCATTTCTACCCTCATGAATTTTCATACGGAATCTCTTCGTACATGATTTGTCGAAACTTTTTCATCGTAATGAGCGTAAATGTTTTGTCATGACTTCTTCATCGTATATGTTTTGTCGAAACTTTTTCATCGTAATGAGTGTAAATGTTTTGTCAAACATGAGCGTAAATGTTTTGTCATGACTTCTTCATCGTAAATGTTTTGTCAAACATGAGCGTAAATGTTTTGTCATGACTTCTTCATCGTAATGAGTGTATATGCTTTGTCAAACATGAGCGTAAATGTTTTGTCATGACTTCTTCATCGTATATGTTTTGTCAAACATGAGCGTAAATGTTTTGTCATGATTTCATCGTAAATGTTTTGTCATGACTTCTTCATCGTATATGTTTTGT